GAAGCGAGTAAAGAAAGGTGTACAATCACTTCGTACAGAACTGGAGATGATGCACGCCGTACTTCGTGAGGTTGGCAAGGTCCCGCCGGATCAGCTCCAGGAGCCGGTCCGGATTTGGGCTGGCAAGGTGAGAGACCTCTCTTGCGACATGGAAGACGCTGTTGACGACTTTCTGGTGCGTGTGGATGAGGGTCCATGCAGCAAGCCAACGAACATGAGGAATCGTGTCAAGAAGTTCCTCAAGAAGACCACCAAATTGTTTGGTAATGGCAAAGCACTTCATCAAATCTCTAGTGCCATCAAAGAAGCTCAGGACCTTGCCACGGAGTTGGTGGGGCTGCGTAAAAAGTATGAGCTTGACACTCGTAGTACTAGCAATGGTGCTACCATTGACCCTCGTGTGTTAGCTCTGCACAAAGATGTAGGGGAGCTTGTTGGCGTTGACCGCACAAGGGATGAGGTTATCAAAACACTGATTTGTGAGGACGGGAGTTCCAAGGAGCAATTGAAGACGATCTCTATTGTTGGTGTTGGTGGGCTAGGCAAGACAACACTCACCAAAGCAGTCTATGAGAAGATCAAAACCCAATTTGATTGTGTGGCTTTTGTCCCCGTGGGTCAGAACCCAGATATCAAGAAAGTTTTCAAGGACTTACTCTATGGCCTTGACAATGAAAAGTTCAGTGACATTCATAATACAACACGGGATGAAAATCTACTCATCAAGCAAATCAGTGATTTCCTTGTGGATAAGAGGTATGCATCATGCAGTGCTTGTCCTTTTGTGTATATTTCAAAAATGTGTGAAGTAGTGGGATGTATACTGAACTTCATATATTCAATTCCATTTTGGCTATTTTTATATTACCACTGGTCAGTTTCTTCATAAGAAAATTCTATTTCTTTCTTTCTTGTGCATGCACCTTATTTTTTGTAGTCTTTTAGACTTATTTCTGCTGCATTTCTTACCATTTTTGCATGCATATCCTCACTGGTTACAGTTATCCTTGTCACAAAATTCAGTTGTATACATATGACTTGCCAACTAATGCTATCAAAATAATTGGCATAGGTACCTCATCGTAATCGATGATATATGGGGAAAAGACATATGGAAATATATTGATTGTGCTCTCTACAGAAATAAACTCCAGAGTCGGGTAATCACAACAACCCGCAATGTGAGTGTGTCTAAAGCATGTCTCTCTTCCACTGATGGCACTATTCACAGAATGAAACCTCTTTCTGACGAAGACTCACAAATACTCTTCCATAAAAGAATATTTCAAAGCAAGGAGAAATGTCCAGAAGATCTGCAGATAGTATCAAGAGATATCTTGAAGAAATGTGGTGGTGTACCATTAGCCATCATTACAATAGCTAGCCTCCTCGTTAGTAATCAGCGGGTAAAGCCAAACCATGATTGGATGGATGTGTACAATTCGATGGGCCATGGAGTTACACAAAGTGATATTGTGAAGGATATGAAGAGGATATTATCACTCAGCTATTATGATTTGCCTCCGCATCTGAAGCCTTGTTTGCTATACCTAAGTATCTTTCCTGAAGACTTGGAGATTAAGAGAGATTGGCTGATATGGAGGTGGCTTGCTGAAGGGTTTATCCAATGTGACAAAGATGAAACCAGGCTGTTTGAGATCCAATGTGACAAAGATGAAACCAGGCTGTTTGAGATCGGAAAGAGCTACTTCAACGAGCTTATGAACAGGAGCTTGATCCAGCCAGCAGAAATCAATGAGGAAGGCACGGTAGTAACTTGCCGTATACATGATATGGTGCTTGACCTTATCTGCTCATTGTCAAGTGAAGAGAATTTTATCTCCATACTGGATAATGATGAGTGGCATGCACCTAATCTGCAAAGAAAATTCCGCAGGTTATCACTTCATAATATCAAGGCAAAGGTTCAGAACCATCAGTTTGATAGCACTAGCCTGTCAAAAGTGAGGACCTTTGCTGTTTTTTCTCCTGTTACTTGTGATTGGTTGCCATCTCTCTCAAGCTTTCAATTTTTGCGTGTACTGGATCTTGGAAATTGTGGCAGCCATAAAAGTAGCTCTGGTATCAGCCTCAAGTATGTAGGGAATTTAATTCACCTAAGGTACCTTGGGCTAAGGAATGCAGATGTTGATGAACTCCCAACGGACATAGGCAAGTTACAGCTTTTGCAGACACTGGATATAACAAACACTAGTATAGAAGAATTACCTGCAAGTGTTGTTCAGCTCAGAAATTTGATATGCCTATGTGTCAACAAGGACTTGATGCTGCCAAAAGAAATGGGGAAGTTGAAGTCCCTCGAAGTACTGAATGAAGTAGGCTTATCCTCATCTCCTCACATTGTGAAAGAGCTGAGCCATCTGACAGAGGTTAGGACACTCAGTGTTGAATGTGTTAACATGGACGAGGATCTGATTGATATATTAATCAAGTCTCTAGGCAACCTGCACAAATTGCAAAATCTGCGTATTCATAGTGGCGACAGATTGCTAGATCGCATGTGTGAAAGCTGGGTGCCCCCTCCAAACCTCCGTAGTTTTGATTCATGGTATTTTTCTTCGTGGTTCTTGAGACTTCCAAAGTGGGTTAATTCGAGTTCGCTTCCCCACCTCTCCACCCTGGAAATAGGTGTGAAAGAACTGCAAGGAGATGACCTTCAGATAATTGGGATGCTGCCTGCTCTTGGGTTTCTGCGACTTGCTGCAAAACGCGTGATGGGAATGTTGGTTGTGAGGACCGATGCATTCCCATCTGCGAGGTGCTGCATGTTCTTCGGGTTTCCGACGGCGCCGTGCCTTTTCCCACCTGGAGCTATGCCAAGGGTTCAACACCTTGTGTTCGAGGCCTCTGCACCGTCGATCGCAAGTCGTGAGGTTGACTGCGGCATGGGCCACCTCCCTTCTCTCGAGCATGTTGAGGTTTGGCTGGAGCATGAGAATTCCAGCGATGAAGAGATGGAGACAGCCAAGGCTTGGCTGAGGCGCGCAGCAGAAGCCCATCCAAAATGTCCGACCATTCAAATGATCGCTGACGTGCCTCTGCCGCCGGTAAGGTACGGTCTACTCATCTGAGCAGCCATGAATCCTCTTTCCCTGAATACGCTCATTGCCACATTGTTTGATTTATCCCTCTTCCCCAATTTCAGGGCTTCAACAAAATCCTGGATATGCAGGTACTAGTAATTCCATCAGTTGCCGTGGATGCTGTTCCAACATTTCAACACGCAACAAACAATTCACTGTACCGCCACAACTCCCAATAAACGACAGAGGCTTCCGCATGATTGTTCATGATGAACTATTTATTTCTCCTGCGTTTGTTTTCAGAAACGCAGCACCTCCTTTCCTTTATTATTCAGTCAAGACTCGTACAATAAAAGGCTAAATTCAGTTGGCACTATTTGTAGAACTACTGCCTCTACATGCATTTGATTGTTCACATGCAGCATCGTTTTGTTTTTACTGGCTTATTAATTAAGAGTTGATTGAACTTAGTCAGCCTTGTTTTGCTTTGTTTGGCACTTGCTTATTCAGTCAATGAAAGGCAGTTGCTCCAGATTTGCTTCATCCTGTTCGTTAAGCTTTCTCTTCTTGCTGCAACTCCTGCTATCAAGCTCGTGAAACGCTTAGATGTTTATAGCGATGGTGCATACCATACCACTCACTATTGATCTTCATGCCTCAAGGTTACATACACAAGTGCAAAACTGATGGCTACATTAAACATAAGAAAATTTATAGCATTTTGTATGAAAAAAAAACCCACAACAACCAACCGCCGCCCACTTGCTCCTGTTCCACTTGTCAATTCAATGGTAGATTGTCAATTGGACTAGCAAAATTGATTATCTGCAACTGACAGCCAATCTAATGGTATGATTGAGTGAGCCGAGTAGTGGGTTGCTAACAGGATTCCCCATGCTGGAAATCTACAGAGAAATAGACAACCAAATCCTCTCCAAGGAATGAGATTGAGAACTGCTCCAGACTGCTTTCGCTTCCTCGTATATTCTTTTCACAGACGATTGCCTTGGCTTGTTACAAGCAAATGCGATTAGGTTTGTGGCGACGGTGGATGATTACCACAATTGGTCTAGTATTGTTGAGAGGTTCATACTAATATTGTTCACGGACTATCGCATCTTACGGAAAATGCTGAAACATCTTTAAGCAGAAGGAAAAAAATCCACATAAAACAACAAACACAAGCACAAGAATCCATATGCTACGCGGAAATTTGACCACCACAGCTCTTGTCATCTAATATTGTTGAGAGGTTCATACTAATATTGTTGAGAGATTCTGCTGGAAATAACTGCTGCATAACTACTGACTAAAACATAAGAAATCTACAGCAATGCTGTATTGCAAAAACCTTGGCACCCACAGCAGCCAACCATATAACTCGCCTACTTTCCCTCTCTCGTCTTTTCATTAGGCACATCCCAGATACTTATTTTTTGTGACATAATACATATTTCAATCAAACTGGTGATCTAGAAATGCACAAGAGCCTTGTAAACCCAGAGAATAGGGTGACAACTCTTAAATAGGGCTACAACTTCAAACAGCAAGCACTAAATCACGGTCAGTCCGCATTCAAACACAATATTCCAATCAGTCAGTCAGAGTTCATTAACCAGGACAACATTACATAATCCATAATCCACCACAATGTAAAAATCTCATGACGGCCACAGAAATTAGGCAGCCATCGTTCACGGACTATCGCATCTTACGGAAAATGCTGAAACATCTTCAAGCAGAAGGGGAAAAAATCCACATAAAACAACATACACAAGCACAAGAATCCATAGGCTACACGGAAATTTGACCACCACAGCTCTTGTCATCTACCCTTAACACGCCATCTCCTTTTGATTCTCTGGGTGAGGCAATTATTTACAGCTAGCGACATTTTATGGCGGCAGGAGGACCGAAAACTTTCCATATAAATGAAGCCGATCAAAGGAACTCCACCTACTGGTAATCAGGGTTGAACGCGATGCCCTCTTGGTGGATTAGATCCTTCATTTGTTCTTCTGACAATGCATGCTGCTCGAAGTCAAAGCTGAAGGGCATCGTGCAGACTGGCTCATCACTTATGTCATGCAGCGATGCCAAGTAAGGATGCGCAAGTGCGCCTTCAACTGACCAAAAAATAAAGGAACAATCAGTAACTATCGATCAATAACTGACCAAAGAAAGTAAAGGATGAATCTTGGAGACGGATATTTTGCAGTCAAAACTATGGATTGTCAACTATAGCAACACCACCCAACAGGCAACAATGATTACTTTAGCATTCCCACTTCAAACTAATGCACTTTGCATACCTACAGAGAGTATGGACACATTCCTACCCACTTGGGCTGTAAATCCAGCCCGGATAGTCCATATATTTAACTGTGTGATCTTCCCAATTTAATTACTTTTTTCCATTTGAATGGAGGAAGTGATGTTAGCTAATGATATATAAAACGAAACACTAGGATGGCATACCCAGATGAGATTCCAGGTACTAATATTTAACAAATGGAGCAAGTTCTAAATTAAACTATTCATGATACCGAAAAAAAAAGACGGCTCTTTTTATCTTGCTGTTTGGAACATAAGATCGTCAGTCAAGCAACAATAAATCCCAGCAGATGGACGCAGATGGTTAAATCACTAGAACACATGCCAGAACTTGCCTGTTATTCTCTGTCTAGGATCGAAAGTCAGCATCTTTTCAACCAAGTCAATTGCTGAAGGGTGAACATGTGGAAACTTCTCAGATAATGATTGCCTTGCATGACGGGGAAGTTGGCGGATATATCTTCTTGCATTTTCATTTACAAAATCCAAATCAGCCTCATTTGGTGTTCCAATGAGCTGCAACAAGGAAATACCACAAGGGAATTGAAAATGAATTAATGTGCACCAGAAAAGTACTTATTATATATACCAGTCAAGTGCTTAAATACCTCTACTTCGAGAAAAAAACTATGATCATACTAGATATGCTAAAACAGGACCACACAACATGATTTAAATTCGATATAAAAGAAGTTCATAGGGGACTATCTAAACCTCCATTAGTAGACGTAGCTGATGGACATGGTCTCTTCCTGGAAACAAAGGTTTCCGGTCCATCAGTTCCATAAATATACAGCCCACAGACCACACATCAATTGCTGCAGTGTATTCGGAGGAGTTCAACAAAAGCTCTGGTGCCCTGTACCATCTTGTCACAACATACTCGGTCATAAAATCAGTTTCTGAGGTGGTACGAGCAAGCCCAAAATCGCAAATTTTTAGGTCACAGTTTGCATTCAAAAGAAGATTGCTAGGCTTCAAGTCTCGGTGGAGAACATTTGCTGAATGTATATACTTCAAGCCACGAAGGATCTGATAAAGGAAATACTGCACAAGGAAAAATTACACAAAACATCCACATCAGATTAAGTACAATTTCTGAGAACAAGACAGAAGTTTGGGGATTGAAAAGAAACTAGAAAGAACAAGATCAATGGAAGAGAAACATGACCACTCCAGAAAACCACTGAATTCTCACGTGTGATTTAGCGTCAATTCTTTATGCTAGAAACCCCCAAGTATGCACACAGGCATATTATTTATAGCAAACAGTTTTTCCATGGAACTTTTCCACCAAGGATTATCCGATGGTATTTGCGAAAGTAGAACATGATTTTATATCAGCAAGCATGGTATTGTTAGCAAAAGAGACCACTCTGATATATAGAAAGCACTTCTATTTAGGAAACATCCCTTAGCAATGTTTGACAAAGGATAGAAAAAAGAATTGCTAGCATTAAGTAGTATACTGATGTGTCAGCGCTAAGCATGTACTCCCTCCGTCCCAAAATAAGTGACTCAACATTGTACTAGCTTTAGTACAAAGTTAGTAGAAATTTGAGTCACTTATTTTGGAACGGAGAGAGTACTATATGTGATGAACTTGTTCAACTGCTCCCTTTGTTCGACCGAATGTTCAGAGGGGTGCATTGAATGTTTCTAATATGTCGTATCCTTTCTAAGAGGTGTAATACAGTAAGGTACTTATTCAATGTCAGTATATTACAGTTCACCTATGTCAGAGTGCTAATCCAATATATCTACAGTCATCAAATATATCCCTATAATTCCACCACAAAGGTCAATTTTTATACTATACACCAGGCAAACTTATTTAGGGCACGTAGTCCTAGACTAGCAAAGTAGCAAGATGATTCAGGCTGAGCAGAAAAAGAATTGACTTGCTTTAGTTATTACGCATTAGCTCCCTGCTCCCAGAATACTAATATCTTACAGAAGTATGTACGAGCTGAGGCAGAAAATAATAATGAAACAGATAATTGACAGTATAATGTACTCAGGGAATCAGATGAAATGAGATACTAGAGAAAAGAATTTCTACAGACAAACAATAATATAATTAGATAAGCAAACTTATCCTACAAAGGGGGTATGAGAAGGTTTTACTTCTATATCGAAATAAATAATAAGTACCTGGCAGTGCTCCTCCGATAAAGCTTGATTTGAGCGAATAATTTGATGCAGATCGGTGTCCATCAATTCATATGCAATATAGACATCATTAAATGCAGTCCTTTGTGCAGGAGGTATAATATCCCTTATTGCAACAATCTGCATAAGAAATGTCCTCTTGTAAGAAACATATTTTGTAGCATTAATTCATAAAAAAAAGGGCAGCCCGGTGCATGTAACTCCCGCTTGCGCAGGGTCCGACCACTTTGGGTCTATGGTGCGCAGCCTTTCCCTACATTTCTGTAAGAGGCTGTTTCCAGGACTTGAACCCGTGACCTCATGGTCACAAGGCAGCAGCTTTATTACTGCGCCAAGGCTCCCCTTCGTAGCATTAATTCATACTTAAAAAAAATCTTCCAAAAAGGCAATAACTATGGTTAGCAGCAACAGGGCCACATGCCTTACATAATGTCTAGTTTTTACATCTTGCACAAAAACCGCATACACCAAGACAATACAATTTGACATATCTGTACTTTCTTTCGATGGCTTGAGTCAACTTTATATTTCATCTTGAATGCATATCAACTTTATATTTGACATATCTTGCATCTTGAATGAATTGAAATAGTCAACAGGTCATGGAAAGCTTAAGAACACATACACTTCATATAACTTATGTTTTCTATGGTTACAGCTGACAATCTGTACGTTCTTTCGATGGCTTGAGTCAACTTTATATTTCATCTTGAATGCATTGAAATAATCAACAAGCCGTGGAAAGCTGATGAACACATACACTTCACTTAACTATGTTGGCTACAGTTACAGCTGAACTAAGTTGCGTGGAAACTTCTAAAATTCTACCAAGTTAACATTTCCATTTCAAACTCGTTTCTGGATACTACAAACCCAACATTTGTTAGAGCTGAGATGCACCCAGTGACATTTTGATGAGTTGTTGGCTTCTTTTTTAGGTTAAACATGTTTTTTGAAGATATATTATTCTACAACAACAGCACAACAGAAGTAAATTGGCATCATATTATTAACACAATCATAGCAATATTCTATTATTTTTCACCAAAAAGATAACAGAATTATGGTGTCCAGAAAATGAGTGAAATGAATAGTCATTATTAAGAATCTGCAGCTAGTAGTACTTCTCACAGCATCATATGAAATATAATTCAAAGATGCCGGTGCCGATGATGACAACCTAATTTATTTATTTATTTTGCTTGTTTGAAGAGTGAAGGGTGTAACCTTGCACATTTCTGGCTGCCTTTTGTAGCAGTGCAAATACCACAAATTTTACGCATTCAAAATTTAAAGCAGTAGAAGGCATAAATACTTGGCATGGGAGTCAGAATAGAGCAATTCTGGAGCTTTCCAATTTTTATTTGTTGTTAGCCTCTGTTTTTATGTTGCATTGTGAACCATCTTCAAAACCCTTGTAACTAACTTGAACACAATGCAGCACTATACCAGCTGCATATGTTCCCACATGACACATGAGCAGTATAGGAAGTTCTGACCACTTCTTACTGCTTAGAGAGTGGATATGACCAGTCATTGCTGCTTCGAGCATGGATATGCCGAGTACAACCAAGAGTCAGGGTATGTATGTATAAAATACAACAAACAAGATACAAGATACAAGTAGGTAGCTAGCATAGATGAAACAAGTGCATCACCCAAGTAGCTGCATTAAGCCGAATGTTACTTGGTTTAGGAGGTAAACAACATGCAATTTCTAGCTGCACATGTTCCCTTGTGAAAAAAAGAACTGATTTGCAATTTTCCAGAATAGAGGGGAAATTTTGATGTGCATTGTGCGATAATATGTGTACTAACAAAAACTAGTGCATAGATGCATTTTTGTACACATACTTTTGTACAGGACTACAGGTAGATCTACAAGACTGTTTCTTTTTCCGAAAATTTGCAAATGTAATTCTCTGTGCTTTTGGGACCTGGAGGGGGAACTAAATTCGTGTCAGCAAACAAAGAGGCTTTTCCCTTACATAAACTATGGCTTCTAATATAGCTATTGGAATACAGGGTCTCCAAATCTTTATGGCTTTATTATGTAGCTCATCCTTTTTGGGGGTTGACATGGAGAATAATAATGAATAAGACAGCATCATACAGTTATGGTATGGAATGTATTGGACATAAATAGCTGACAGGGAACCGTATCACCTGCCATAACTACTATAAAGGCAAATATGTGGCGTAAGTGGTCCTGTGCATTATTTTCCTTTATGGTCAGGATGTTTTCTCCTGTGCTGTGGTTCCATTACCAGGCCTTAAGCCCACTGAAAAGTCCAATTTGCTTCCTGCGAACCCAAGATGAGGTAATGCAGCCGTTGCTCTGTCCGTTCACAAGAGTTAGCTATTGAGCCGCCCACTGGTGCCGCCACGCTGCCCATTTCAGCTTTTGTGCCAGCCACCAACCACCGCCTAATACACCTCTTGTCAGGAATGCTCGTTCGCACCATCAAAAGAAAAAAAAGCGAAGTACAGGATCTCGTAACGGAAAAATTCTGCCTTTATAGTAGCTAGAAGATACAGCAGGTGATACGTTTACGGCTGACAGTGTACAAAGCACGTGTCGACAAGCATTTCCGTTATTAATCAGACCTTGCCTAATCCGATATTTCAGTGCCAACGGTCATAATTGTCTGACGGTCAAACTCCCAAAGAAGTTTGTCTATTCAGGTGTAGCATTAAATCTGAAACCCTAGCTTACGTAGGATACTAGCCAAAACCAGTGTCACTCTGAAAACCTTCCACCAGAATACGCAATCTGCAAATGACGATGCTTGATGAAACAAAGAATACAAAGCCAAAGGGTGCCATTCTCTTCATGCTCTTACTGCTAGCAGATTACTTGACATCACCTAAACTTGAAATCCACACATCTCAGAGCATATGCTGAGGTGTCCAAGGAAGGCTGTCAAGATACAATCCACCTCTAGTGTACTGCGAGCACGGCTATCTTCCCCAAAAAAACATTTTTCCCCCTCAAATACGCGCCAAAACACGAGTCATTTCATATTACAAGAAGAACGCCAAAGCCTTTTAAAGAAGGCACATGAAAAGACCCAAGATGCCTAACTCAGATTTCTCTTACCCAGTTTAGTTATCACAGGACTATGAAATGGAAAGATCCAAGTCCAACATCCTAATAAGAACTTTCAAACAGTAGTAGCCCCCTAGCCTAGGAACTGCGCAATCACTTCCACCACACACCCACTGGATTCGGAGGAGCTAGGCAGCAAAAGGGACACAGGCAGATAGATTGGTCCTGAGGCAGCTTTTGACATCAGCAGAATCTAGCAGTAGGAGCGAGAGCATCATCAAGTGGTGCTGCTCCAGGTGTGCCGAGGAAGAAGAACACAATGAATCGCATCCCAAAAGGTTGGTGGGTTCTTTAAAGGCGCGCCTAGGATTACTAGTCCTGAAGGTCTCGCGCAAACGAGGAAGGAAAAGCCGGCCACGGAGCTGTCGGCGAAGCCAATCATTTGGCGGTGGCTAAAATCTAACCGAACCCATCCACCTGCCGTTCCATTCAATGCAACCAACCAGCACAACCACAAGGAGCATTCAAGGAGATTCTCCGAGAGAGGAAAAAAATGGAGGGAGGGGCGGATCGGGGACTGACATTCTCGTGGTCCATGTGGCGGAGCAGCTTGATCTCCCGCAGCGTGCGCTTGGCGTCGATCTTGTTGTCGAAGGCGTTGGCGATCTTCTTGATGGCCACCTGCTCCCCCGTCTCGGAGTTGAGCGCGGAGCTGCCACGCGCCGGGGGTCAGTGAGTCGGTCAGCCAGCCGGAGATGGAGATGGGGATGGAGGGGAAAGAAAGGGGGAGGGGGCGTACCAGACGATGCCGTAGGCGCCCTTGCCGATGGGGAGGATAGGGGGCTTGTACTTGGCGGTGACCTCGAAGACGTTGCCGAAGATGTTGTACTGGATGAACCTCCCGCCGTGGGTGAGCGTGGCCTGGATGTTGTCCATCGCGCCGCCCGGCGCCGCCCCCGCCGCGGCCGCCGCGGCGGCCGCGGCCGCCCCGGCCTCCGCCATCTCCGAGTCCGGCGGCTGCGCCCCGCCGGCGTCCATCTCCGCCCGGATCACGCGCGCGGGGGTGCGGGGAGGGGAGGGGAATTCGCTCCCGAGATTTGGTCGCTTTCCGCCTCTTGTTTGTTTAGGTGGTGTGGTAGCTCCCCTTCTCCTCTCTCTCCTTCAGTTTCTGGGCTGGGGAGGGGATGGGATGGGATGGGATGGGGGCAGCCGTGCCGGCCTGCGTGGAGACGGGAGATGGCTGGCAGCGCGCGTGCCAGTGGCGAGTGGGAGTGGCCGGCTGCTATGGGAAGGTGCCTTTTTTACTCCAAGTGGGAAAATGGAGGATCATGCCTACCTATGGCCATAAGCTACATACACACTGTGCATCCCTAACCCTAGAAAAGAAAGCTAGGGCCCATCCCTAAGTGCGTTATGATATGTATAAATCCACGAGATGGATGTGGTTGTGGTGGCGGCGGCGGTTGGGGGCTGCGCATCGCCACCGGTGTGATGATGGGTGTGGTGTTGTCGAGGGCGCCTTTTCGACGGTGCCGGCGCTGGCTGGTGTGCTGCCACCTTGTGTCCGTGCGTGGCCGTGTAGGCATTGTCGGGTGTTGTCGGCACGTCATGTGCGGGCGGGTGCGCCTATGCTATTTATAGGGGTAGGATGCGTCGCGGTTTGTTTTTGGTTTGGGTTTCCTGGCACTTATTAGGGTGGCTAGGAGTGGAACACGGTGAAATGGCAGCTTTTTTTGTCCACGTCCCTGCTTGACAAGATGTGTGAAATCATCGCCAGTGGGGTGAGGGCTGACAAGGGCTTCATGGAGGTGCACCTCAACCCTATTACCAAGCAGATCTTTGAGTTATGTGGCACATAGGTGACCTCAACCCAAGTCTACAAGCACCTCGCGAAGTGAAGAGATGGATGTATCGAAGTGTCCAAGCTTAAAGACCTTAGCGGTGCCCCCGTATATAAAGCAATAAAGTCTCTTTGCTAATTGGGGCAGCGAGCACCGGCTGGGTGGAAAGCAGAGCTTTGAGCTCTGCAAATGCTACGTCAGCTTCAGGAGTCCACTCAAACTTATCAGATTTCTTCATTAGTCGGTAAAGAGGCAATGCCTTTTCACCGAGACAAGAGATAAATCGACTCAAAGCGGCCAAACAACCAATGAGCTTCTGAACGTCATGCACACGCACAGGACGCGTCATTCGGAGGATTGCACCAACTTTCTTTGGGTTTGCATCGATCCCTCGTTCGGAAACGAGAAAACCGAGTAACTTTCCACCGGGGACTCTGAATGTGCACTTCGACGGATTAAGCTTGATATCATATCTCCTCAGGTTGGCAAAGATTTCAGCAAGGTCAGTCAGCAGGTCGGAACCTTTACGCGACTTAACCACGATGTCATCCATATATGCTTCCACGTTCCGACTGATTTGAGTGAGCAGGCACTTCTGAATCATCCTCATGAATGTGGCACCAGCATTCTTGAGACCGAATGGCATGATAACATAGCAAAAGCACCCGAATGGGGTGATAAAGGCTGTTTTCATTTCATCGGGTCCATACAGTCAGATCTGATGATACCCGGAATATGCATCCAGAAAAGACAAACGCTCACATCCCGCAGTTGAGTCGACAATCTGGTCGATGCGGGGGAGAGGGAAATGATCTTTCGGGCAGGCCCGATTGATATGCTTGAAATCAATGCACATACGAAGTGAATCGTCTTTCTTGGGGACCATGACAACATTGGCGAGCCACTCGGAGTGGTAAATTTCGCGGATGAACTCAGCTGCCAAAAGCCGAGCCACCTCCTCGCCGATTGACTTTCTCTTCTCCACGGCGGACCGGCGGAGATGCTCTTTAACGGGTTTTGCTTTCGGATCGACTCGCAAATGGTGCTCAGCCAGTCCCCTGGTACACCCGGCATGTCAGATGGCTTCCATGCGAAGATGTCCCAGTTCTCACGGAGGAACTGGATGAGCGCTTCTTCCTATTTGTTGTCGGGTGTTGTTGAGATATGAGTCGGAGCAGCATTAGGATCGGTCGGGTGAATGTGAATTGGCTTTGTTTCATCGGACGACTGAAATGCAGACTCTGAGGCAGGCTTCTTGGCTCGCAACAAATCACTCGGATCTGCATTCTTCTGGTATTCTTGCATTTCTACTGCTGCCATTTGTTCATCAGCAATCTTAAAGCCCTTCTGGAGGCACTCTTCAGCTCTCTGCCGATTATCAATAACTGTGATCACGCCTCTGGGACCAAGCATCTTCGGTTTAAGGTACACGTAACACGGGCGAGCCATGAAACGAGCATATGCAGGTCTGCCCAGAATAGCATGATAGGCACTTTGAAAATCCACAACTTCAAATGTCAACTTTTCCTTACGGTAATTCTTTGAATCACCGAAAACCACGTCAAGAGTGATCTGGCTGAGTGAATCAGCTTTCTTTCCAGGGATGACTCCGTGGAACCTCATGTTGCTCTCACTAAGCTTGGACATCGGAATGCCCATCCCTCTCAGGGTCTCAGCGTAGAGAATATTCAGACCACTGCCACCATCCATCAATACTTTGGTCAGTCGAGTGCCTCCAACAACTGGGTCGACTACCAACGCTTGCCGCCCTGGAGTGGCAACGCATGCTGGGTGATCGGACTGGTCGAATGTGATTGCAGTTTGTGACCACTTCAAATATGTCATTGTTGCCGGGGCAACCATGTTCACTTCTTTGTTTATGACTTTCAGTCGACTTTTGCTCTCGATGTCAGCAAAAATCAATAAGGTGGAATTGACATTGGGGAAACCATCATCCTCCTCCTTGTCTTCATCCTTATCAAATTCCTTCTCTTTCTCACTGGGTTGTTTTTCTCGGAACTGTTGGATAAGGAGTCGACACTGTCGAGTGGTATGCTTGGGGTAAATCAGGTTTCCCTCTTCATCTTTCTTGTTGTGAATATGACAGGGCAAATCTAGCATATCATTTCCTGCTTGATCTTTTACCTTCTTGGGGGTCCAGGGCCCCTTAGGTTTTCCCTTAAATTTTCCTTGGACCACAGCTGCAGTCTCACCAGGACCTGCGGGCTCGGCTTTGCGCTTCTGTTTCCGATTGGAATTACCCCCTCCGGTGTCCTGGACGACTGGTTTTCTCTTGCCACTGCGGAGTCGGTCTTCTTCTTCGCCGTTAGCATGCCGGGTGGCTATTTCCATCATTTGGGTCTGGGTCATATCTCCTGTCTGACCGAACTTCAAGTTAAGCCCCCTATACCGAACTCCCTCCTTGAAGGCGCATACTGCCTGGTGCTGAGACACATTTTCCACTGTGTGATGCAAAGTGGTCCACCTGTGGATGTAATCCCTCAAAGTTTCATTCGGTTTTGTACGCAATGTTGTAGTTCTGCCAACCCTGCAGGTCGTTTGCATGTGCCCTCAAATGTCCTGACAAACACTCAAGCCAACTCTTCCCAACTGAGTATACTGCCTGGAGTCAACCGATTCAGCCATGCTCTGGCCGAACCCTCTAACATCAAAGGAAGATGCTTCATTGCCACCTCATCATTACCACCACCAATCTGTACAGCCACTCGGTAATCTTCTAGCCAAGTGTCAGGCTTTGATTCACCGGTAAACTTGCTCACTCCCGTTGCCAACCTGAAGTTGGGGGGAATCTCAGCAGATCTGATGGCTCTGCTGAAACACTCTAGCCCAGAGACATGAACTCTATTGCCAGTCGGACGATCTTTGTCGAGTCCTTGTCTGTGTGCTCTGTTCCTGTCGACCAGACCTTGAACGAGGATTGACCTCGCATCAAACCCTGGCTCTCTTGGGTCGACTGGGACCCTCTGCTCACCGCTACGCAGGTGCCTGTCATCATATTGCCGAGGCATGTATTATCCACTCCTCGAAAGGGGCGTAGGCACTCGATGGCGATCATCGCGGCCAAGTCGATGATCATACTGCTTGTGATTCTGACCCAAATACTGCTCTTGGCGATGTCCACGTCCCTCACACCGCAGGGGCGATCTTGGGCTGTGAGCCGACTGAACTGTGTCAGCCACCACCGATCTGCTGTGGATCCTGCTGCGAGACTGAGAAACAACTGTGTTTTGCTCTCCTGCTGCTCGGAGCAGTGCCCTGATCTGCATCAAACCCCTTCCAGCCTTTGATTGAGACAACTGGATCGACAACGCTATTCGGGTCGTAGCTGTAAGATTCTGAATCGGAGTGCGGTATACCTGAGGTTCAGGCGGAAACAACTGTCGTTGTCGACTGGATTCGGGAATCTGCTGTCGGGTGCGCTCGTCGAGTGAATGTTGAAGGTTCTCCAATCGAGTGCGCTCAGCCAAAGTGGCCAGGTGCGCAGCCTCCAAGGCCCGGGCCTCGGCGATCTCCCCGACGATGGGAGTGTGGAGCGCCTCTACGTTGCGACGATGCAACTCCTCCCTCTGCTGCGAAGTGAGGGCTTCAGGATGATATTCCTCATGAACATGCGATGGATCGCCGTCGCCGTCGCCGTGACGGAAACCAGGTGGGCTGTGTGGCTTGTTGACCACCAAGACTTCTGCCGCAGGGTCACTGCTGTCACACTCGGACAGCGTCTCGACGGATCCATTCGATAGGTCAAACAACCCGTAGAGTGATTCGTCGGGCTCGATTGCCGTGACCTGAGGGGTGGCCGACTGACGGGCCACCGCATGCTTCACCCACCGCTGGAGTCGCGATCGACCGGACCGCTTGCGGCGACAAACGGCGGGGGGTGAATATGCCACAGGAGCCGACCGATATTGGGTCGACGGCTGCTGCAGAAGTACACCGCGGATGCACGCATGAAAGTGAGTAGCCCCGCGGACGGGGAGCGTCTCGACGTCGAGGGGGGCCTCCTGGAGCCAGGTGGAATCGTCAGCGATGAAAACGAGCGCACCGAGACGGATCTCGCGGCCTTCAACCAATTCACCGCCAGAAACCATGATGATAGGAAACGGAAAAATCACAACCTCACCGGAAAGTCGCTAAGACAAGAGCCCCAAGGTGGGCACCAATTGTCGTGGGAGTAAG